TGAGACTAAAAATATCCGAAATAGTGTTACCCGCCCTCTTCTGGACTACCGTCAGTCCACGGGCAGCAGTTTTTTCGCCTGAACAATCCAAACTGCAAGAACACCATCCTATGTATTTATTCATAAGGAGATTTTTTACCGATAACCCGATCCATGCTTTATTATCTTCTGACAGTGCTTCAATGCTGGCATTAATAACAGTCATCATGAATATTTTCGATTTAACCGTTTCTATATGAGGCCTGGGGGCAGTTGGAAACACGCCATAATTCGGGCAATGAAATTTGAGCAAGTGGCGGGCGATTGTGGAGGGGAAGTTTTCTGTGATGAACTAGATTTGCCCAGTGTACGAGCGCCTAAAATTGCATTCGGACTGGTCTTTGTGTTAGGCACTTGCTTTGGTCTAATATCGGTTGCCGGTGGAGTCAGTAGGGCTGTTTTTATACAAGGCATTTTGTTGCGTTCAGAGAACTCATCATCAGGTGTAGTAGAATTCCCCACGGAATTAACTATGTCATGACGTGGTGAGGCTGCATATAATGTCCAAGAAGACTTATTAGACGTGACAATAAGGGCCGTTACATCGGCGTTGGTTTTTGACATTTTCAAGTTGTTTAGTCTTCTATGCATTGGTGTCAGATTCGGGAAAACTGCGCAACGCCATTTACGAAAAGATTCTCTAGTTATATTTTTCTTCGATAAGATGAAGAAAACTTCTGTCAAGGAGAAGACAGCAACTAGTATCGACGCATTGCGGCTGAGCGAACGCAATCGTTTAGCTTGCGCGACGCATAAACCCAAGTCACAACTTTGCATAAACAAATGTGCACCCTCAATAGCAGGCATGTGACTCGGAATGTTAAGCAGAAAAAATTATGCTTACGTCTTATCCTCTCCTCAGTTTGGAAGCGTGTTACCTCAGTAACTTTAAACACTTGTTCATTAACTTTTCGGAAGTATTGTTTATGCCGCCCTTTATCAACTGATCTAATATTTCGTTTGATGATGCTCTGTTACGACTAGCAAAGGCGCAGTTTTGAGCGAGTTTCTATAGGGACAAATGGAATATTTGAGTAAGCCACATCTAAAAAAGGATGTGGACACACGCTAGCATCCGTTGCGTCGCCGGCCCCAATTCTATCACTCAGAGTTGGCGAGGAGTGTGCGAGCATTCGTCTTTTAGAAAGTTCTTTTCGGTGCATTACAAGGCACTAGACAGGTATTTCCTTGTGGTACGAAGATCTAAATGCTACCAACTTACAACAAAGCGCACAGAACAGCAAATGCTGATGTTACTTTGCTACGGTAATTAGACAGAGACGGTCTGGCACGGCGTCAATGAACAGGCACTTCGCAAAATGCAGCTATTTTACCAGACTTTCTAATAAGTCAGGGAGTAATTGTAACCGGCAAAAAAGCGACTTTTAAAAACAGCCCAACCGAAAATGCGCATTTATTACCTAAGAATGCCAAAGTTAATGTAAAGCTTCACTTATCTTTGAAAGTGAGCCTCGCGCTTTGACCTTG